CCAGCTGGGTGGCATACAGTAGCTGCCTGGCCACTCAGGAAGGCCCGGGTTGAGTCCCAACCGGGCAGGCCAGGCACGCATGCATGTCCATAAAGCCAGCCGCCAAGCTGCCCGCAGGGCACGGCACGCAGACCCTGTTGGGGCGCCTCCCTCTCCTGCCCTCCCATCTGTCTCTCTTTCTCATAGAAGAAATAAATAAATTACTTTTTATTTTTTATCTTTTTAGAAAGGCTATTAAGAGGCTTTTAAAAAAAGACTCATCATCCCCAATTTACAGCTGAGGGGACCAAGGTCGGAGACTAGATGGAAGACCACCCAGGACCGCAGGTCTGGGAATGGCCACGCTGGGATTCAAGCCCAGAGCAGGCCAACCAGGACACAGGGCATCGTCCCTCAGGTGAAGGGAGCACCTCGCCCTACCCTCTGCCCCGTGTCCCTACCACACACACGCCCAAACAGCCCATGTGTCTCTGGGCCGGTTACATCAGAGGATAATAATAAAAAGGAAGATGCAATTGGTTAAAATTCAGATGTGGATTAAGTAATGAAATAGTTGTGGGATTTTGATATTTATAGAAAAGCGGCCCATCTCAAGATTTGTGAAGTGACGGGAACATCCTTATATTTGGCAAAGGATCCATAAATACGACCAGATAATCAGGGAGAGACAGACTGCCCTGAAGGCTGAGGAGTTTTCAGAAAGCCACCCGCTTTCAGCTTTTAAATGAGCAGTAAATCCCGTCTCATGCTGAAGCCCACGGCCTCAGACCCTCCTCTGTGCGCCGTAGATAATCCGGGCGGCAGCGGCATTACTCACGCTCACGCAGCAGAACGCTGGCAGCCCTCGCCAGCTCAAGCCCGTTCCCCCGGGCAGCCGGGGCTGTGACGCACGGGAGCTTTTCCAGCCTCACGACAGGCGTGGGAGGAGGGAAAATGAGAGGGTCGCCAGGCGGAGGGGCAGGCCAGGCTCAGCCCGAGTGGACTCCGTCTCTGCTCCCGGCTTATAGGGCAGAGAGAGGAGGCGGGGAAGGGGCTGCACACGGAGGAAGATGCTGGCACAACCGAGGAAAAGGAAAATGAGATCGAATTCTGATGGCATCACCACCCTAGGGTCCAGGGTCCCTGCTCTCTGCCCCCAGCACGCCTTCCCCTCCCTGCGCTGCAGCCTGGCTGAACCCCAGGGTCCCCAGAGCATGCCTCGCACTGTTCCCCTCCCCTCCCTATGCTGCGGCCTGGTAGGACATCAGGGTCCCTAGAGCGAGCCTCACACTGTCCCCTCCCCTGCCTACGCTGCGGCCTCCCGGAACCCCAGGGTCCCCAGAACGTGCCCGGCAGTCTCCTCGTACTTACGGCCTATTCCCTCCATCTGGAACACGGCACCTGGCACCTTCCCCTATGAAAACTCCACACCTTTCATGCCATGATAATGCCACCTACGCCACGGGGACTCTTGTCCTTTTACACATCCTCGCAGTTTGCTCGCGTTTCCCTCACGCATATGTGTGCAAGCACGTCCGCCCTTGCCATATCTGCCTCGCAGAAGTTCGAGGGCACGGGCGTGTCTTCCTCACCGAGGGTCCCCTCTGAGCCCCTTATTTGCATGTTCTGGGCTGTCCTCCCACGCGGGGAACACAAAAGACCAAACAGGTGGGCTCCTTGCCCCCAGGCCCTAGGCAGCGTGGGCTGCCTTCTGAGTGTCAAACACGTAACCAGGACCCAACCAGGACAAGGACCGGGGCCCTGCGCTGTCCTTCCCTGGCTGGGTGAAGGAGGTAGTCCACTCACCTCTGGACGCACCTCTGTGGCGAGGTAGACTGGAGGCCAGATTGCAGGTGCGCCTCCTGGGGTGGCAGGGCTGGAAGGGTCTGCTCGTGAGTGCTCGGGTGTTGAGAAAGCCCACAGCCCTGAGTGAAGCCACCCTCCAGTGCTTGCCAGACTTGGCCGATCAAATGCAGTGCCGCCCTCCTGGGCCTGGGGCCACCCCGGCCTCCCCCTGCAGGGCTCTGCCCCATGCTGCTGGCTCTCCCTGACACACACATGTGGACAGGAACATCGCGTGCACGTAACCACAGCACACACCAGCCCTGCGGATCACCCTTAGAGAGCACAGGGCAGCTTCTAGCCCCCCTTGAGTCAGGACCCTTCCCTTCCCCGAGGACCCTGGGGCAGTGCCTCCCAAAGGCCCTGCCACTAAAAGGACACCAGGAAGATCCTGTCGCTCTGCCCTGCAGTTGGCCCTCCACGGCCTGTCTTAGCTCCACCGGTTCCGGAGAGGGCAGAGCTGCAGCCCCTGGGGGAAGCAGGGACGAGGGGCCGCTGCTCATCTGAGCAGCTAGTAGAAGCTGGATGCCCAAGGCCCCTCCAACCCGAGGCCTCTCACCCTGAACACGTGGGTTAGCACATCCCAAAACTGGCTCCTGCTATGGCTGGCCCTGTCAGGCCAGGAGGGATCTGACTGAGCCCACATCTTAGCACCTGGTCGTTAGGAGAGGCCGGGCTGTCCGGGAGCCAGGCTGGTCTTGCCGAGTGGAGGGCAGGCTCAGCCTGACCGGGATGGTAGAGACAGACGCCAGCCAGACTCCTGGGCCTTTGCCTCAGGGGCTCACGTTCCTTATGTGCACGTCGGCGAGGCAGACCTCACCCCGGCCTTTCCTAGGCAGCAGTCCTAGGCAGGTGGGGTGGCCACGACCCTCCCTTAGATGGACAGGGAGGAACTGTGTTTATCTGCTGAGCCCCACTGGGTGCCGGCCCCGGCCAGGTGCTGGGGATGCGGTGACAAATGAGCCCTGGAGGTCCCTGGGAGCCTGGACAGTCAGTGAGGATGGGCAGTGAGCGAGGGGTCATGAGGGCTGCATGCCACCACAGCCGTGCAATATGGAGGCGTGGGCTTCGGGTGCGGGGCTGCACTGCGTGGGCCGCGGCGCAATGACCCACCTTCCAGCTTCAGCGGGTTGTGGTAGTGAACTTCCAGGCGGAGGTATCTGGAGGACCCAGGGCCCCCAAAAGCCAGGCCGGCTTCCTCTGGGTAGTAGAATGCCTGCAGAGCAGGGAGGGTATCAGAGCAGTATGTCATGAGGGGACCCCCGACCCAGATGTTGGGGTGTGAGCTACAGCGGGTGTGGTGGGGCAGCAGGGTTAGAACAGCGTTGCCCTGCTGATGGGCTGCTCACCACCTCCCCCACCAAGTTCTGATCAGATGGGGGCGGCAGGGAGTGGAGGAGAGGAGCTGGTACCCCGTCCTGTCCTCGGGACTCAGGGACGAAGCGCTGGCCTGTGGAGGCCACGTAGCTCACCCTGACCCCAACTTGGGCCAGCCCATGCACAAAACCCTCTGGTCCCAGTAAAATCGCCACCCGGAGCACAGGTGCCACTGGCACTGACATTTTCTTAGCAGGGCGACACGGCTGGGAGATGCCCTCCTGACCCAGAAGATCAGTGGATTTGGGACATCAGAGGCCACGGGGCTGCATGGAACTTGGTCCGACCCCAGAGGCCCTCTTTGGGTCCTTTCAGAGCCTGAGGTTGGGGAATCTTCCCAAGGACTTGGAAGAGGCCCGGGAGCCTGGGCGCTGGGGCCTGGCACACCCACCTTGGCGCCCAGGGCCCAGGCCGCCAGCACATGGCGGCAGAAGTTGAGGCGGTCGGGCTTCATCTTGGAGTCGCAGGGCCCGCTGAAGTGGGGGATGCTCTCGAACGCGGCTGCGCACTGGAAGACCTCCATGTGGTGCACGAGGGCCTCGTTGCCCTCCGTGACGATGGGCTCGTACTGCAGGGGTGGCCAGCAGCTGAGCCCGGGGAGGGGACCCAGGCCCTCCAGCCCGCTCTCCCCAGCCCTGCCAGCTGGGGGCTCTGGTCAGCTCCCCGTGGGCCTTGGTCTGCCCTGTGGGAGGTGGGAGGTTGGCACCCTCCTTGTTCCAACCCAGAGCAGACAGAGCCGGCCAGGCCCACAGAGGGCTTCGGAGTGACTGAACTGAGGGCCCAGGCTGTTTGCTGAACAGAAGGGACAGGAAGGCAGAGGTCCTCGAGTGTAGGGCAGCGGCTGGACAGTTGCCAGGTTAGAGCCGAGGCCCCAAGCACAGCTACAAGGCTAGGCTGCTTCCTGCTGTGTGACACTGGGCACTTGTGTAGCCTCTCTGGGCTGTGTCCCCTGAGGGGAATGAGGATGGAACCTCACACTGGGTGCTGCTGTGAGGAGGTGGGTCACCTCTCCCTGAGTGCTCTCCTTTGTCACGAAGAGGGGAGACAGCCTGACAGATGGGCAGAGGTTCCAGACCCCAGGGGAGAGAGAAACCAACAAGACCCCCAGTGGCTGCGGTGCTGCTGGGAAGCCAGGCGCTCCGAGGCCCTTCGTACGTGGGGAGTGAGCTGGGGGACGAAGGGCCAGTGCGTACCTGTGGGGACACTAAGAGGACACCTGGCAGCTCCTGGGGCTCAGGGCAGCAGGGCCCACCCGCACCCCATCCCATGATGACTCCCCGGGCTCAGGGCAGCTCCCGGGGCTCAGGGCAGCGGGGCCCGCCCACACCCCGTACCATGACGATTCCCTGGGTTCAAGGCAGCAGGGCCCACCCGCACCCCGTACCATGACGACTCCCTGGGCTCAGGGCAGCAGGGCCCACCCGCACCCCATACCATGACGACTCCCCGGGCTCAGGGCACCCATACCGCGTACCATGACGACTCTCCGGGCTTAGGGCAGCTCCCGGGGCTCAGGGCATCGGGGGCCGCCCACACCTCGTACCATGACAACTCCCTGGGTTTAAGGCAGCAGGGCACACCCACACCCCGTACCATGACGACTCCCTGGGCTCAGGGCAGCGGGGCCCGCCCACATCCCATACCATGACGATTCCCTGGGTTCAAGGCAGCAGGGCCCACCCGCACCCCGTACCATGACGACTCCCTGGGCTCAAAGCAGCAGGGCCCGTCCGCACCCCGTACCATGACAATGTGGTGCTTGGAGAAGCCGGCCGGGAGCTCGGTGACGTAGCACCAGTAGGTGGTCTCCTGGCCCGGCACCTGGACATCGGGGGCGCGGATCTCCATGGTGCGTGTGTCGGAGGGCACTGCCGGGATGGGGAGGTCGGGCTTCAGCAGCTGCACCCTCTGCAGCCCTGTCTGCAGTCCCGAGATGTTGATGGCCTCCAGCGACCGGAACGGCTCCTCCAGGATCCCATAAACCAGGTGGACGGTGTCATCCTGCAGCCCGGACAGGCCCAGTCAGTCTCCCACTTGGAGCCCCAGGCTGGCTCCTCCAATAGGAGAGGATGTCACATCCTGGCCCGCACACAGCCAGGTGATACACCTCCCTTGTCTCTGCCAGGCACCTGGGGGCTCCCGCGGCCCCCCCTGATGAAGTCCTGGCTGCCTGCAGAAGCCCTGCGTGCACCATCCACCACCCCACTCCGCCTTCCCAAACGTCCCAAGCCCCTTTGCTCAGAATCCATTTGGCTAGCAACCACTGGGCCCTGCCGGGAGCCAGGGCGGCAGGGGCCTTTGGCCATTGGCTACCCCAGACAGTGTAGACAGATGTCCCCTCAACCAGCACTGTGCTGGGGTCACAGCCAGGCCCAGCAGCAGGAGGCTGGGGCTCCCACAGGCCACTGTGGGTAGGAACCAGCACCGAGTGACCCATCCGGAACCCTTGCCAGCAACCTCCTTCACCTAAGGCTCACCCGCTGGTATTCCCCCTGCCCTCCATCACCCCAGGGCCAGGGCCCAGGACTCCTAGCTCCTTCTAGAGTCCCCCTGAAGAGGATGGGACCAAGAGAGAACACCCAGGAGCAGAGCCCACCCTAGACCACGAAGCTCGGGGTGAGACCCGGGTCTGGAAACCAGGGCAGCAGCATGTTGACCCAGAGCTCAGGGCTGACAGCAGAACCAGCACCTCCCAAACTGCCACGTCTCCAGGCTGCCCTCCTTGGCTCTCTACATGTAACTGGCCCAGGCCCAAGCCCCAGCCTTCCTGGGGAACAGGAATGGGCCATGGCCTGACTGTCCTAGGACACAGGTGTGGCCTACATGGCCGATACCTCCCCGTCCAGGCACTTGGGGTCATCGCCCACCTCGATGAGGTAATCCTTGGGGTCACAGGTGCCAAAGGGCCTCTTGAAGAGCAAGGTCAGGCCCTCTGGGGTCCTCTGGGCCTGCAGCAGCTGGTAGTCCTGCTGGGGATCCAGGTGGATCTGCCCCTTCTGGTCACTCCAGGCGTCCTGCGGAGAGCGAGCCCTGGCTGTGAGCCGAGCATGGTAGGTGCTTTTCCCTGGCAGAGCGCAAAGTAGGGGTGCCGGGCCCAGAAACGCCCATTTCTGCTTGGAAGCAGTGCAGTCGAACCCCCATCCCCCTCACTCTTCTGGGGCCCTGAACCGGGGCTCCCAGACGCCAGCCAGGGCCATCCATCTGGGATGGGAGAGCTCACAGAGCCTGGGGAAGGGAGAATCAGAGGGGATGGGAGTGGCAGGGGACACAGCTCAGGGCCTGAGAGTGACCAGCGCCTTAAACACGGCAGCCCAGGCATCTCACCTACCCTAGCCCCAGCCTTGCTAGACAGGGTAGCAGGCCAGGGACCCCTGCACTTCTCCAGGCCGGCCCACCACGCCTTCAACTAGCCTGGTGTACAGGGCCTCCACCCCGGAGCTGCGGGCGTTGTGACAGCATCCAGCAAGCCTGCCCCAATGGCAGGCCTCTCTTTGGACTCAAAAATACCACGGATCCTTTGTCTCTAGGATTTGGGAGTTGTGTTTCTTTATTTTTATTTTATTTTATTTTTTAAGTTTTTGCCATAGGGCACGTGCACTTGCCGGGCAGAGACACCAAAAGTAAGAGGGAAAGTGAGAGATCATTGCCAACCCAAGAGGGGATGGCCGTGCCACAGTCCCTTCTCCATTCTCCTCCTGGATTTCAGGCACTCACATGCATGCACCCAGCATGAGTTTCACGCTGCCAGGTCTGGGGTTCAGACCACAGCTGGCCCTGTGTAAGTCCAAGACCTTAACCACTGCGCTACCTGCTGCCCCCCAGGGTCGTGTGTTTACATCCAGGGCTAAAACTTGCTTTCCACACGTCCTTGAGTGAAAAAAAACCTGCAAAACATTTTGCAAACTCTTCCCTGGAGGCTCCTGCTTGGGACACCGCCGATCGAGAGGCCGCGTTCACGGAGGCGGAATGTACCTCACGCTATGTCGGCTGGAAACCCAGGCCACACTGGTCAAATGCAGGGCTGAGGAGGAATGACAGGTCCCACACTCGTTTCCACAAACCTTGCAAATGAACCCTGGGGAACCTTACCCAGAAGTCAGCACACAGCCCAGCCAGGAGCCACCACCCAGGGAGCAGCCCCTTGGGCTCGGGCCTCAGCAGCCAGAGGGGCCTCTCGGGCAGCACAGGGCTGTGCGCTGTGGGCCGGGCGTGCCTCAGTGCTGATGGCTGGGGACTGGAGGGAACTGAGCTTTCTTTTTTTGAGAGGTTTTCGCTATAGGGCGCGTGCGCTCGCCAGACAGAGAGAGACATAGAGACAGAAAGCGAGAAATCACCCCCCAGGGGGGATGGTCACGCCGCAATCCCTTCTCCTCCATTCTCC